TAGAGTTTTTATTTTTGATCTGAAACTAGGATGTCATACACTGACTTTGTAAAATCTAAGTTATTTTAAAAAAAAATTCTGATAGTCGCCCTTGAAAATAACAGTTTATTATATCTCTATTCGATCACATAAACAAGTTTGAGAAACGTGTTTGATGGAAACTCAGATAACTTCCACATTTATCGACTATAACAAGCGTTATCTAGGTATGACGAAGCTGCAGATTAATAGTTTGAGTATTTGATGAAAAATCGGTGTATCGGCTTAGATATGACAGACAAGATGTGTTTAGGGAGCTGCTACATAATCGAAGCTTGTATTAGCTTAAGTAATATAAAGAAGTCTTAGCATTAGGTTGTTCCTTATTCGATGAGTAGGGCCAACCCTAGGAAGGTGAAATGACTAAGGTTTGTCTGTGCATCACAAATTATACATTTTTAGAATCAAAATTAAAAACTCTACTCACATGAGCAAAAGGAGGAGAGAAAAAATGGTGGCAATGTTATTGTAATTTTTAATTTAAAAAAAGTCAGGAAGAAATAATAGCGATTTTGGGAAAAATCGGTTTCTTTCGTCTATCTCCATGAATACTCGCAATTGCGAAACCTTCCAGGTGGCATTTTCTTAGTTACTCAAATCCGCAACTTTGTCCCTTTTCAGCCGACTTAGTATCTCTTACCATTTCTGAGATCCCATTGGTGAGATTCGAATTAGAAACACATAACGATGCTTAGTTCAAGTTGATGCCCTTAAGCTGACTTTAATTTGTCCTATTTCAACATTCGCCAATTTATACCTTCTGCACTTTGCTAACATTCTAGTTGTATTCCAGCATTACAGTCTGCTTTATCTTTAAGTTGCTTTTAATCTACTAAATTAGATATTAGTTACAGAGGAAATTCCCCTTTAATGTCAATTAAGGAGCAATTACTCGCGTAATTGTCTTCTGTAGAGCATGATGTACGTATATGCTTAAGATTTCTACTCAGAGCAATTGTTCATTATGTACCAGTGTCAGTAGAACGATTTCATTCAAGTGGGCGTCATAATTTCAACCGTTTACAATAATTTGAATGGATATGCTATATTAGAAAGCACAGTGCTTTGCTGGACTTCTAGACACTTCCCATCAATACATGCGCTGTTTCGAGCTGATCTGAAAAATATATTTTCTTCTACAGCGGTTTGAAATAGAAGTACCTCATGGTGTCTTAAACAATGGAAAAATTTCAATAGTGCGCACTGACTATATTCCTTCATAAGAATTGAACTAAGATAAAATAAATCCTGCTATAGTAAATGTATCAGGAGGTTATGCTCCTTCATGATCAACAATGCTCATTGGACTATTATCCTTCCATACAGGCAACTGTGTTAGATAATAAACGAATAAATACGTATGACATCATTGAGGATGAGAATATCACAAATTAACGTATGTTTCATATTTTTAAAAATGAATTTTCCTGAATCGGCTGGTTAGAGGTCAGCATACGTACTCTGGAAGTGCGTAGCTGAGCGAGTTTGAGTGCATTCGGTGGCGCAGACCGTCTGTTACTCAGAGATGCTAATATGCTAGTGACGATAATATGTGATGACAATAAAATTTTCTTAATAGAAAAAATAACAGACTTGTGTGGGAACTATGTTTTATAAATAATATTCTTCGAACTGTTTCTGTTTCTACAGATGATCATTCTATAGATAAAGATTTTACTTTAACTCAGCAAATGGTTCCTTAGTGTGCAAAATTGTCACCGGACTGTTTAAATCAACTTTACCTTCGAGGAATCCCACAAGAAATGCCAAGCCGGATTAGATCGGATGTAGGTAGAAGGAGCAAGCGAACGATTTGTATGTTTCCAAAATATTTTAGACAGTAGTCAGGATGCAAGTGCATACTACAAGCCAAAAACTTGGAAGTTGTTGGCACTATGGTACCCCCGGGTATTTAGACCTAAAGCCTGCGTGTATAAGTATAAAAAAGAAGATGCTCACATAGCTCACAGGGCTGTTAAATGAAACGGTTTGGCGAGTGGTAAAACTTACGTTAAGCTTTGGTTAGAAACGAATTCGAGTGAGACTTTCCCGACACCATCTGTATCAGTTTGCAAACGTTAAAACTGATTTCATGTGCCAATTTATAATTATAATCGAGACTGGATTTACCATAAATTATCCAGCACCGCAGAGTCGTTTGAACCCGGTAGCTCTGCTCCGAAGCGACAAAATTGTCGAAATCACCTGACAAAATTATAGCAACCATTTTTGTGATATAAAAGGGATACTGTTGGGAGGTTACCTGCATGCTGGTAAGAGTATAACAGCAGAGGATTATTTTAGCCTTTTCGATGAGCTGATTATAAAAATGCGGGAGTAAGCATCAATTTGGAATAGAAAAAGATCATCTTTTATCGATTCAATGCACCTGCCATACCAGAATTACACAATATCACTCAGCAAGAACTAACTTAATGTTTTTGGGAGACTTCTGCGGTATATGAATTGACATCTTGATGGCGATTATTAGCTCTTCGCCTATAATTATTTTGCTAATAAAACGTTCTTTTCTGGCATATGGTCCCAAAACGTCACAGATTCCCCAAAAACATTCAAATGGCAAAACAGGTTCACAGTGAATTTATATTTTCGCTTCATGGTTAAATACCGTCCAAGATTGAACTAGCCTCAGCAAATTGGTAATTGAGTATTTTTCCTAACTATTATAGGTCATCTCTAACGCGGTGGCCCCAATGCAATGAAAATGAAAATCCACAGACTTGTTTTATGTAAGTTTTGGTGTCCTGCTTATAGACTTTGCTTTATGTGGTAACAGCACTAATCACACCAAGGAATGTTACACCACTCAATACTGAGTGAACTGATTATTATTTAATTTGTTTATTTCATCATGAACTACATCATTATTCACCAAGGAGGAACAGCAATACCTTAATTACTATTCATTAGATTGCACTAAGGTGTAGTGGATTAAATTTAAGAAATAAAACGTCTGCTGAGTCATATCGATGAACCTGTAGCTTGTGACAACTCAACTGAAATTAGTCGCCACAAGAAAGTGATGTATTAAACGGGATTTGAAAAAATAATCCCTATTCGTATAGCTGTCGCCAACCTGTCAGTGATCGTGTCCAGGACTCCGCCACACACACTCCGTTTATTCTGCTACGCTATAAAGGCGGAATTCACATGGCCGGATCCCAGATACAGTCACCGTCAAGTCGCCGACTACTGTACGAGCAAACCAATAGTCCAACGTCATAACTACTTTAAGTAGGCCCTCTAGAAAAATTGAGTCAAATAGATCACTCAACTGACAGATGGCTATTCAAATTAGTGATAGATACACGTTTAATTCACAAATAGATTTTTTGGCTACGACAAGGAATTAGCGGAAACAAAAAAGGCATTGGAGATGTTCTGATTTTCTTTTTTGACTGGTTTTTAAATTCAGTAAGATTGTTTCCTTCTTGGTCTGGTAGTAATTTTATAACAATATTTAATTGAAGAATTATTATTATTTCCATACTTCCTCGCCATTGAGCGTGAGAAATTAAATTAGCCGCTCTCTGACCCGATAGTGTTTATAAAATTAAGTAATTAATTTGAGTACAAAAGTGTCTTTACTTAGTAATCCAGTCAAAATAAAAATTAGGTTTGTAAACATTCCCAAAAAGCTGAAAATTGACATTGATCAGACCATTATGAATAATATATATCAAAACTCCTCCTAAATCCTTGGAGCGAAGCCTTGTTTTATTTGCGATGAAATGTCAAAAATATCACGTTTTGTCGTATTTCTCTGAAAGGGTAAGATGTAGCACAAGAACAACTCTTACAAAGATTGTAGAGAATGCAATTGTGTATAAAAGTTGTTCAGGTACTTTTATTATCCATCCTTTATCATTTTTTGGTTATTTTGCCCTTCCTCGATCACTGGAATTAGATAATTAAGTCGAGCAAAATGAAAAAAATCTCACAAATCTTTGGTACATATCTCAAATACACCATTATATATAACATATCAAAACTGCTCATATATGCTTGGAGCGCAATCTCGTTTAATTTGCGTTGAACTGTCAAAAATATCAGATTTTGTCATATTATTAATAACCACGCTATTGCTACTACGCGCCGTAGCAATAGCTTAGATCCTATAGATTAAAGAACGCATAAACAGCGAATCATAAAAAAGCAACTGGACAAGTTTTTTAGAGATTTTCGTGCTCTACAATTTTAGTGTAAGCTGATTTGTGGTTACTTGTCCGTTCCAAGGAAATATAAAAAGGTTAATTCTGACCACCAATACAAAATTTTGCGCTTCAACGATCGATGGGGATTTTTGATAAATTAATTAATAACATATTGAAGGCATAAAACAATTTACAATTTTTAAGTAGGTATGACTTCTTTCCGGAAACTTGATTTTCCTTTTGTTTATTTTGAGCGCACCAGGGTAGGTTTGGATGGTACGGATCAATACTATTACCACTTTTTTCGATTTTTCAAGCATTTCGCGTTCAACTGTTTTATATCGAAGCCTTTGGCTGCTCATAGAATGCATTTTTAGAAAATTACTCACTTTTTGTTGAAACACCCTGTTTTCCCATATATTTTGATATGGAAGATCACTAGATCTCATAAATACGACTCAAGGAATAAAAGTATTTTAATAACTTTTATAGACAATTACCATTTCAGAGAAATATGACATCTTCAAGCAAAGCAAATCGTTAAAGATCTAAAGATTCAAGTTAATGGAATGTGTGGACGCGTAGTCTATTTGACAACTAGCTCCAAATATTTCAAATTCAGGTTTCCTCATGGCAGCTATTATCAAATTATAATTATTCAGGGGCTGTTCCTCTTCATACCACTTAATTTACTAGGCTGTCCCTTTTGATGAACGTATTATCCAGGCATATTTTATTATATTACTTTGATAATCCTCATTCTATTGCGTTTCTCTTTCTTTTCAGTTATCGTCCTCCTTATCATCACAGAATATGGCTACATCCCGGGTACGAAAATGGGCTACACGTGCCAAGACCCCAGTATATCGCACAAATACCGGGGTGAGGTGATCACACCAGTCATGCTGGGCGTCGGATGTTTCCTACTCCCACTGCTTGTTCTAGTCTTCACGGAAATACTAATCAAGGTACGTCGATTTTTTGATATATAGCACAATCTGAAGGATTTACGATTGCTTTCGAACTATTACCTCTTTTAGTATGTCTGCACCTCAAAATGAACATGAACATGACGTAGAGGGAGAAAACAGCTGAATGTATGAAACATCCTTGTTATCACAGTGTTCTGTAGAGACTTACGAGTTAAAAATAGTGACAGTAAAATGCCTTTTTAAAGAAATTGTGTTAGAATGAGTAAGATTGTTTTACAATTCGTAACCATTTTGTGTAATTGAATTGCATTTTAATCGTGTTACAGCCCCATTTGCAATTTCTTGTTACTTTCAACGCTACTGGCGAGAAGGTGTTGTAATCCAGGAAAATTTCGAAAATAAGATATGTACTAGTTATTGATCCATGCCAAAAACCTACAAGCTTTGTAGTTGTTTATTTTTATGCGTTAATGTATTTATACGCTCTAAACTCCGGTAATTCTATAGTTCTACATATTTCACGTTGCCCTTAAAATTTAGAACGATGGAGTAATCTTTTCAATACAGGCACCGCAGCAACGCCACAAACGTAGACATAACTTCATCGAGGTGTGATCGATGTCTGGCTGGCTGACGAGTGTCGAGGTTAATCATAGCAACGTCGCCAGGTGGTCGGTACTGTCGGTAGGGTTGAGGAAAAATCTCTAGACAACAACGTTTTGAAATGGAAAAAGCTTATGGTCTAAATATAGGGTGTTCGATCCGTTTCTTCTTTTTTTTAATCTAAAAAAAGACACACTTTTTATGAGTGCGAAACCGAACTCTTCATTGAAAATTGTAGGTCGGTCTTTGCTATTTATCTATGAAACACAACATCGCACATATGTCCACCGCGGCTCTGTTGGCATGCCATCATCCGAACATCAAAATTTTCGATGACTTTTTGCAGTATTGACGGACCCACGGCCGCAATTTCGGTGCGCTTAAGGTCTTGAATCGTGCGTGGGGCAGTTGCGTACACTTTACTTTTCAAAAATCCCCAGAGAAAATAGTCCAGTGGCGTTAAGCTGCACGATCTTGGAGGCCAATTCACGTCGGAATTTCTCGAAATAATGCGATCTGGCAATTTCTCGGCCAATAACTGGATTGTTAGGCGAGCTGTGTACGAAGTTGCACCGTCTTGCTGGAACCAGAGGTCGTTGGCATACCTTCCAATTTCGGCCAAAAAAAACAATCCGTTATCATACCACGATAACGTTCGGCGGTGACCGTAACGGCTTTTTCTTCTTCATCCTCGGAAAAGAAACGGTCCAATCATGCCACCAGCCCATAATCCGCACCAAACAGTCACTTTTTAATCATGGTGAGGTTGTTCATGGGTCTCGTGTGGATTTTCCGAACCGCAAATCCTACAGTTTTGCTTATTTACGTGTCCACTGAGATAAGAATGTTCCTTGTCTGAATAGACGATTTTAGCCGAAAATCGCTCTCCTTTTCCAAGCATCCAATTAAAATTGTTACTGATGGCCCGCTGGATTTAATAATTGTAATGTTGTTGGCCTGATGTCCTATTCTTGCGAACGGTGTCTTATCGAAGTTGATGGCTGAATATGAACACTTTCACTCACAGCGGCCACTGATCCACGTGTACCGAACGGGTATGTTGATATGATCTACGACCTTCAACTGAGCTAGTTTCCTTAAAACGATTGATAATCCACCCAATTCCACGTTCTGTTGTACGATTATGTCCACCAATTTTATCACGAAGTTTACGAAACGTATTTTTTAAAGATGGTGCGTTTTCGTAATACTTTTGGACGACTAAAATGCGATCTTGCATTGTTAAAGAGCCCATAATAACAAATGGCAGACCTTTGACGGTTCATATGTGCTAAACACATTGCAGTTGACACATTTAACATGTCAAAAACTGATAGTTGAAAAAAGAAGCAATAGTTGGAACACCCTTTATATGGACATGTTTGACTCACTTGATTCATTTGATTTCCACTTCCTACGCCATGGGCCAGGAAGTATTGTAATCGTGAAATTTTTCAAAAATGTCCATCACGAAAAACCATTTCTGCATTGCTGGCACTCCCGATCTCGAGTTATACTAGTAACCACAGCTGACGCTCATGACATAGTTGATTCAGGATCGTCGTCAGACGTTCGATGCTTTCAGCAAAGTAAGGAAGATATTTAAAGCGTAGTTTGGTCTTGCGATGTTTTCCATTTTCCAGCGTTTTTTCTATAGTCACGTCTTTAGTTTTTCGAGAATAATCAGATCTTTTCTGAGATATATTGTCTATCCAGACGTGTTAGTCGTATTGTATCTAGCTCCCTAATTATAGCCCTTTATAAAGAAATATATCATTTTTTCTTAAAACAATGACGTTATTCATTTCTTTTGCAGGACTCAGTGAAACGAATGGATGTCTGGAATTTGTGGTTCCTGTATAAGGAGTGCCTTGTGGGTGGAATATTGGTACTGGTATTGACTGAAATGGCCAAGGTGATTGTTGGTGAACACAGGTAATTTCTTTTTCTGATAAATATTGCGAATGTTTAGACAGTGAAATAGTCCACAGGAGCAGTCGTCACTGTACAACAAATTGAGGTTTTGTTGAGGAAACAGCCTTTTGCCTGAAAGGAGTCCGAATACATTTAAGCCTAATAATTAATTTTTCATTAAAACCTGTATCCCTTTTGGGGAGTATTCCTCACGATCTTATATTTTCTTTTTCATGAAGGCCGCATTTTTTGGATGTTTGCGAACCGGACACGGCAGTGGGATGCTCGCCTGGTAGCTTCATCGAAGACTACAGATGCACCAGTACTAAGTATAAAGGCTACTTCGTGGTGGACTCTTCGCGGTCGTTCCCGTCTGGGCATTCATCGACGTCGGTGTTTGTTGGAATTTTCTCGGCGGTAAGGAAATGTCTCATTACATATATTTTGTTTCTGTGCTTATTCTATAAGTAGAGCGGTCTAACAGTCTGGGCAAACATGTCGTGCGTCATAGAATAAACAGCTTGTCACTATTATCAAACAAGAGAGAAATCCTTTTTACTAAAGGAGAAGAGGTGCTTCAAAAAGATGAGGAAAATAAGATCCACTTAGCACATACCATGAAATATGGATTTTCCCTTTTTTTTGCGCCTCGTAAGAAACTTTTGGAGGTTTGGAACTACATATTAAAAAAAACACTGACCTGTTCAAAATAAACATAAAAAATTAAATTGTTCGTATTTTAGGGTATGTGGCCTCCTGCAATATCCCTTAAAACTCTAAGGGAAACAAGAATTATATTTAGTTATTGGTTTATTAAACGAATGTGTCAACAGAGGTATCTTAAAAGAACTTTCTGACAACCTAACACTTACTGACGCCCATTTTTTCTTGAGGAACAATTATCTTTCAGTAAGCCGCAAGCCCGAGAAAGGTCCCGTCGCAGCTCCAACCAACCCTTAGGAGTCAACCGACCCGCTCGCGGACTAAAACCAGACAGACCCCCCTGATTTTACATTTCCGTAAATAATTGCTTATTGTTTTGATTGCAATCTGTTGTGAGGTCCGAGAACGCATGGCGTACATTACCCAATTCGTATTAACATTCTTGTTTTCAGTTCTAGTCATGTGTAATCGTTCCTTGTTTTTGAGATTTCATGAATTTCTAACATGATGGCACACTTATGATGTTATGTTAGCCTACTTGAAATAATTAGGTGTAATGAACTCTTTGGCAACGCGTCCTACGTGTGGCAATATTATCCAAAAATAGTATATTGATTTCAGAGGTTTTCTCAACGTAAATAGTTCCCTTCCCTTTTGACGTAGCGAATAAAATCGAAAATCGAACTATTAATAGAAATATATTGGACTATTGTTCCTATTTGAGAACAATGCTGTAATAATTAGGGAAAGTACAATAGACAACACACAACCGCGAACATTCATATATGGTCTGACAACCAAGCTGATTCGAAGGCTGCAGCATTTCCAAAGGCAAGAATGTTCCAGGAATGCAGCACTACCCCTGAAAGCTTAGCTCTTTCCAAAGACGTTCCTTTCTCACGCGACCCTGAATACAGTGGCGTACCTGATGACGGAACTCAAATCACTTGGCATCACGGGGCGTCAAGAGCTCTTGTTCTAAATCCCGTTCGAAACGTGCCCAAATGTCAGATGCGCGTTGAATACTTCCGAACAAATCTGCATGCAAAAAGCAAATGGGGTCCTGGTGCACGAACTTTAAAGTTTAATCTTCATTGATAGGTTACAGTAATATTAATTTTTGTATTTATTTAGTGTCAAGTAACTTAGGTGGTATGTTAAGGAATGAAATATCTTAAGAAATCTTACCGCAGGATGTTTTGGTGGTGAGTATTAATGTGGATGCAGTCAGCAAAAGGGCATAGAAAAGGAGATAAAGAGCCAAGAAAGAAAATTCAAGTACATTAAAAACAATAACTATACAGGGTAAATAAAGAATGTCAACAGTTTTCCTGCAAAAGTACATTCTGTGCGTTTTCAGTTTTTTCTGTAAACGAGAAACGGATGAAGTTGTTCTCCCTAGCTCAAACGAGAAACTTACCAAAGTTGTGACCTAAATAGATTTAAAGTGAAGTCATAAGTTTTCTCACGTCTTGTCGTTAGAACGTGATTCTTTTCTGTCATGAAGGATAGGAGAATATCACACGATTTTTATTTACACTGATCCGTTAGTATATATCGTAGGATATGATATTTATTGAACGTGTAGCCAGGATATTAGTAAGTATTGGTATATACGGTTGCTTAGAAATTCCCCGAATCTAACGGAATGATGAGTAAATACTGTAGTGCGGACCACAGTCAATTCTGATCGTGTGACATTTGCCTTACGCTTCTGTCGGATGTCAGGAAATGCTGTGATATTGAGAGTCCGATATGAATTGCGTGGTCACGTTCTGTCAGTAAGCAGAACAAAAATCAAATATGTATGGCCAATTCCTTTGGCCAGAAAAATAGAGAATCTAAAAGAGTTAGCCTTCATTGTAATTTTAATCACAATTTGTTTCAACATGCGACCGAAATACTGGATTTATGAATTTGTCTGAGGGGGGGCTGGCACAGCGATCGTCGCATTATTCAATTTGAGGGATACGTCTTGGGCCACCGCACGTCTCACGATTCAGGTAGAACAAGCTAATTTGTACACAAAAATGCAGAAATATACACCTTTTCTTGAAAAGAATTGCAGACTGCAGTGTCTAGAGAGGCTCGCACACCCCTCGCCCTCCTCCAAATACGCCTTTGAAGATAATCTGCATCATCATGTAAACAATATGTTTGTTATTTTATCTAGTCTAGTCTGCTCAACCCTCATTCACTCCACTTCCTCACAAATATGAATATTCTATCTTCGCTTAAATTTACTTGTCGCTGCCTGCGCAGGAATTCATGGCCCAATAACCAATTAAAGCGTCGTGCGTCAGTGTTTGTTTTCACGGGGAGGACACCGACATGCTCGGTTCTAAAAGTCTTTCGTACGCCACTGCGTGTTGCCTACCAGCAAAACCGAACTATCGACCGAAACGTCAGGAGAGCGTTTAGCGGAATTTCGACTGTTTGATAAATGAATTCAGTTTCGTCTGGTGGACCAGCAGCTCCACAGCACACTGGCATGCACTCGGTAATTGCTTGCCACCCCTCTTACCCCTATACCACCCCGTCGCTTCCTCAACCGCTGTTTTTGCCCAAGTGCGGGTACTGTACCCTTCCGCTCATTAACAGCTGCCGAGCATTAAGTGCCTTCCATCATTTTTTCTGACTGATGGTGTCTTTTTTGACAAGCTTTATTTCTCAACCATATCATTCTAACGTGACAATAGAACCACCGATGCGCCGTGGGTTAAGGCGGCTCCGACGCAGTGAGTTTCAAGCCATTTACAAGGGTTCAGCTGCTTCAAAACTGACACTCCATTTTTCAATATTTTTCAATGAAATTCATGCAGTATGTTGAGAAGATAATTGCCCAGGGTGCTATAGGAGCACTTTTTGAAATTTTGTTTTTGCACAAGTTTTATGATGGGTTGAAGTGCGCACTTTTTCTGTTCAACTGCGCGATTTTTTTAAAAAGAACCTAGTGAAAAAAATGAAAAAGTGGCTCTATAGCACCCTGTGGGGTTTTGTTTTCAGCACACTGTGAAAATTTCATCCAAAAATATCAAAAAAGAAAGCGTCAATTTCGAAGCGCGCAAACTACAACTACAAATCGTATTTTGGACGTGCTGCCAACACAAGCGTTGCGGCGCATGTACGGACTAAGAAAGGACGTATTCAGATAATTTGGTGGCCTTATTTTATATAATATCGCGTAGATAACTCGTTCTGCAAATAGGTACTCATAATCGCGATCGCTGATACTCCTCGATTTTAAAGCCGTTTTACTTCACACGCCATTGGCGAAGAAGTATTGTAATCGCGAAAAATTTCTAAAATGAGATGTTATGTTTTAAGTCATATGACATCTACATCACGAAAAACTGTATCACTCATCATCAATTTGGAAATTACCGCTCGGATTTTTATGAAATTTCCACACTGCCAAAGCTTTGCAGTTTTACTCCAGTGGCAACGGTGCTATAGGTAAAAAAGAAAAAGTAACAATTGCCGAAACTCCGTTTTTGACGTTTCAGGGGTTCGTAATCATCGACAAAAAAATTGTACTGCTTAAAAAGGGGGGGTTGAAATCAATGAAACACGTTCTATTATTAAAAAGCTTTTGATCCCAGTGATTACAGGAAATTTAAGTAATGAAAATCCGACGAATAATGTGCTCACGATTTGAAAACATCGCTATCTGCTCTATAGGTTTGACACCAAGAGCCAACAGATCTGCAACTACCGACAGTAGGGAAGAATAAATTCGGATATCACCCCAGTCAAGTATAGGGGAATTCAGCGTGGAACTTTAAAATTATCGATATGTCAAAATTCTTGAGAATGATAATTTGGTAGATTTTATACCTGCATGTTCATTTGAATATCATGACCCGTGAAATGTAACCATTTCGCTGTTACCTTCAATTTGTGTTCTGCAGTTTGTGATGTTTTTCTGGATATAAGCAGGACATAAGTGCCTCGGGTGCTATCAGAGCTTTTCACAAAATTTTTTATTTGCGCAAGAATTATGGTGGGTTGAAATGGTTACTATTTGTGCTCAACTTCTTGATACTTTAAAAAGATCCTAGTGGATCAAATCGAAAAAGTCGATCGCTGGCACCCTGTGGACTTTGTCTTTAGCACGCTGCAAGAGTTTCATTTGGAAATAATAAAAATTAAACGTAAGCTGTGAAGTGCAAATCAGTTTTTGGGCGAAATTCATCTACTGTTTCAACCTGCCAGTCCAAGCGTCGTGACGGTGCGTTCCGACTGAGAAAAAATGTATTCAAATAATTTTAAATCTTTCCTAAAATAAATTCAAGAACTCAAATTCTAATTTCGTTTATTCATGTCAATAATCACAATTATGTTTACAAGGGTCATGTGGTAGATGGTAACAATTGAACGAGGGTCGTAAAAGTATCTTATGCAGTCAAAAGAAGAGGAAACAGCTAGGTAGTTTTTGCAAAGCAATAAATAGGGAGGCTTATACCTGGACTAAGTAATGTCTTATCTACTGTAATAGGTAGATAGAGGTGATGCTTCCAGAAATAGATGTGTGCGATCAATAAACAAACCACAAGATTGAACTGCCCTGTCCAATGATTTTTGTATTGCCTTTTTTTATTGCCTTACTAGAAAACTCTGTTGGGTATATGATGGAGTTTACTAGAACTTTACAGCTTGTTGTCTGCCTTCGTATACAAACTTCACCACATCGAGACGCTGTCAACCTTATCCTCCGTTGAAGACGCCACAAAGTGCAGTCCTGTGATTTGGTG